CTGGGAGCTCTCATTGAGGCCGTTAGGGCCTCTTGCCTGCCCTTCTGCATTGCGGGCGACTGGAACATCGAAACTGAGCTTTTTGGAACCGACGCATGGTTTCTTGAACGTTTCTGCACGCGGAGGTTGTGGGCGTTGAACAGCCCACGTGTAACGACAGCTGCATTGACTTTTCTGTAACGAGTGATGTTATTGTGCCCTTTGTCCGCAGCATAAGCCTTCGGCATGACACTCCCGTGGGGCCCCACAAAGCGGCCGTCCTCAGCGCCGGGGGTTGCAAGCCACAATTACATTCACGGGCGAATCCAGCCCGAGGCGTCCAGGCCCCCAAAGAAAGGGGAGGCTTTCGTTCCAGGGGACATCTCGGGCTGGTCAGGTTTTGAAATTCTCGCAGGGGAATCCGCGGGCAGTCTTGCGCGCTGGTGGCTCTCCTCTGATGAGCTTTATCTGTGCATGTACACGGCGTTGCCTGAGTTTGAAAGGCCCCGTTATTCAGGTCGTGCTGCAGGTTGCCGTCTTGAAAAAGTGCCTTTGCCTTGCGCCTGGGGAAAACGTGTTAGAAGAAAGGCCAGTGCTCTAACCCAGAGGTGGCTTTCGCTTCGCAGAGTGACAACGCAGCGGCTCCGCGCGCAAGACTCCACGGCCCCAGACAAGGATGCAGCGATCCGCATCGCTGTTGCACGTATGGAGGAGGTCGGTAGCGTTTGGACGGGTTCGGGGGAGGAGGAGGCGTTGTCGACTCAGGAGTCTGGGTCACCAGGCTCGCATGCCGCCTTCCTTGCCCGTCTGCAGGATCCCGACTCTCGTGTTGATGTTTGCGACGCGCTTCAGCGTCGTGTGAAACAGCAAACGGGCAAGGCTGCGTCGGCGGCTCGGCAGTCTTGGAAGGAGTTGTTTTTTTTTGTCAGAACTCGCGTTCCAGAGAGGAGGGAGTCTTGCTCATAAGTATTCTCGGGGCCCTCAGGGCCATTCCCAACCAGCGCTTGCTGACTCGCTGCCCGTTGTGGGACATGAGGCCCTGAAGGCCATGCTGGGGGCGTGGGTCTCGCTTTGGGAGCTTCTGCCCAGGGACCTTGAGCCCCACCCCCTCTCCTGGGATGTTTCAGACGCGGCTCCCCTTCCCGAGCTAGAGCCAGCAGCGGCGCTTGCAGCCTTAGGGTCGTTTAGGCCCAACACTGGTCTAGGCTGGGATTCTTTTCACCCGAGGTGGATCGAGAAGTTGCCTGAGGCTCTAATAGCGGCGTTCATCCTGATTTTGCATCGGTGGGGAGCTGAGCCTGAGCGCACTGACGCGTGGCTCATTCTCATAGTCTCCCCCCCCCCCCCCCCCCCCCCCCCCCCCCCCCCCCACCTCACCCCATAAGGCTCAAGGGGGGGGGGGATATCCATAGGCCTGCTGCCTCTGTTTGCTAGAATATGGTCGGGATTAAGACACAAGCAGGTCTCCAAGTGGGAATCCAAGTTGCCCGATCGTTTTTTCTGGGGGGCCTCTAGTGAGACCTCATGTGACAAGTCCGCCTGGATCCACAACCCTTGCGGCTGTGGCTCCCCAGTTAGGCCTTGTCAGTTTTAGCGCGTTTGTTGGCCCCCGCAAGTTTCATGGAATGGTCAGCCACCAGGAACTTTTGTGCGCTGCCAGGGATGCAGATTTTCCCCTGGCACTTCTGGGGCCCTTGTGCGCCCTGTACAGAGGCCCAAGGAGGGCCGTGTACCAACAATCGGTTTCGGAAGTCCTTAACGCGAACGGGTCCATCATAGCAGGGTGCTCTTGCGCGACAGGGTTGGCTAAGTTGATGACGATCACCACGCTCAGGAGCATAGGGGTTAAGTGTAACCTTATCTGAATCAAGAACTTGATTGGCGATATCAGCCTACACGTGATAGGAGGGCCCACCCAAGTGGCAGATCAGGCGATCACTGGTTTAACGGTGCTGCTAAGAGGCATGGAGGACCGCAGCTCCCGATTTCATGGGACAAGTGTGGCGTGCTGTGCAATGATGATGAAGTTTTCCGCAAAGTGAGAGCGCATGTGCGACATCTTTGGCCAGGAGATGCTCCTCGCCCTGGTCGTGATGCATTTCATAGAGATCTAGGGGGAGATGCCATCGACGGAAGGATGAGGAGGATAAGCACTCAGGTTTCGAGGACCTCAGAGGCTCTTCAGCGAGGGGTGCGTGTCAAAGCTCTCCAGGGACTGGGTCGTCAAAAATCAGCGGTGCATCGGGCTGGGGTCCTGGCCAAATCTCTTTGGGGCTCCAGCATCCACGGAGTGGCAAGTTCGAGGATCCAGTCCCTGCGAATGTCGTATTTGAACGCTGGCAAGTACAAGCCAGGTGCGTCTGTGGGACTGTCACTGCTGACGGCAGAGTGCGGCTGGCAGCAGGACCCCTTGGTCATTGCGACGGTGGGCGCGGTCCACACCTTTGCTGTCGCCATGAACTCGCAGGCCGTCGCATGGGCGGCCGTCGACAAGCTGCTCAAAGAAGCGAGGCCTTTGCTACTGGATTCACAGCGCTGGGCCAAGTGCAAAAACCCGATTGCCGCTCTTCTCCTCTCGCTCCACAGGGTTGGGTGGTCTTGGGAGGACGCCCACACCATCAGAGATGACGATGAGCAGCTCTGGGACTTCAGGGCCACTCCGCCTGCCCTACTGAGCTACATGGTCAAGCATGGGGTTCGGAGGCACATCGATAGGGAAGCGCTGCGCAGGCTCGCAGATGGCGGCTCACGAGTCCCTCAAGGCCCCATACCGTGGATACCCATGAATGAGGTCCTGCATTCAAAGCGCAGTAAGTTGCCGCCAAGGGGAAGGAGGTCTCTCGGGGGCCTGTGCTCGGGGGCTCACTGGTGCCAGTACAGGGCCTCGAAGTCCTTCAACGGGGAGCCCTCGGTGTGCTTGAGGTGCCAAGGATGCCCAGGCACTTTCTATCATAGGTTCGTTGAGTGCGACGCGTACCACTTCTTCAGGCAGGAGAGGCTCCCGAAGGAGCTCCACAATGCAGTCAAGCGTATGAAGCAGGCCCTCGAGGCCCTACAGACTCTCTTCTGCCGTGGCCCTCTTCCTGACCCTGCTCAAGCCTTCGCTTATCCGAGCAGGAACCCAGCTCACCACTACTATGATATGGATCGTAAAGGTGTTGTGCATGTTGACGGTGGCTTTGTTTTCACTGACGGGAGTGGGTTCTATACGGACATACCGCACATGAGAAGCGCAGGTTTGTCAGTCGTTGTATACGACCACGAGCGCAGGAGGGTGGCCAGATACTTCGGTGCAGTGCCAAAGGACATGTACCCGCTCCAAGTAGCCAAGTGTGGTGAGGACTATGCGATGCTGATCGTTAGCAGGCAAGTTCTGGGATCATACACGGCACTCTCAGACTGCAAAGGCACGCTTTCTTACTGCAATTCGCCTAGCCGCCTGGCTGTGGGAGCAGGCAATCCAAGAGCTAATGTGTGGAAGTTGATTGCTCAGAATGAGGAGTTCCATCGGCAGGCGTTCAAGCATGTGAAGGGCCATGCGGCACAGACGGATGTTATTGAAGGTGTGCTGTCCGATTTTGAGAAGACGGGCAACTCCACGGCGGACGCATTGGCGAAGCGTGGGGCTGCATATAATATGCCAGGGGACGAGCACGTGGATTTCGTTCGGGGCTGTAGGATGTTGCACAAAATGCTACTGCAGTACCTTGGGAATGTTCAAGCGTGGCTGTATGATTATAACGCTGAGGGCCTGGACTACCATTTCCCGTTGAAAACAGACGAGGAGCAGGAGGCCCCCTTTCAGCAGCCCCTGACCGCCATGGTGGACAATGAGCCCCATTGTGAACTGGTCCTGGAAGACGAGCTTGACGGTTTCCTGGAGCCATGGCATGTGGCAGGGCACAGCCTAGTGGAATATCCGATGGTGGACTCACCACACTTTATTTTGTTATGTTCCACGTGCTGCCAGTATTTCTGTTCAGACTCCAAGAATCATCGAGGGCTGGCTCAGAAGTGCAAAGGCAAGCATGGAGGTGGCCGTGAAGTGGAAAACCGTCGGCACTTGGACAATCTCAGGCATCCACAGGCGATTCGAGCCCATGTCAGGCTCGAGTCTCCGCGGTCGCCATCTGGGCCAGCACGGAACATGGTCAGAGTGACCAAGAAGTGGGAGGTAGAGTTGAGCAGCAGTGCAGTTCGGACCCCACTGAAGAAGCAGAGGCTCCTGGACACATCGCGCATCCTCCTGGCGTACGGGATCGAGTTTCGCGAGGCCGTGGAGCTAGGCCACATTCCTGAAGATGATGAAGATGGCCAAGAGTCGGACTGAGTGTGCAGCGTGGACTGTACACCGATCAGGAGCCACGATGCGGAGTTTGATCCTCGGAGGCTTCTACAACTTGCTCTGTTTTGAAATCCTGTGCCCTGGGGGCGGCAGGTTATTTCGTCGCCAGGCTGGTGACTTCCGTCCGAGATTCTTGAGGTTGCAGCCTTGCTGGCCCTTGAATTCTCTAAGTGGCGGGAGCGCCAGTCGGCTTTGCCGTGGTTCGACCGTGGCGCTGTCCCTCCGCGTCCCCTTCGTTTGCCACGTCGGCGGCGCTTTCCACGTGGGCATGGCTTTCGCCGCCCTGGAGCTGGGCTGGGTGTGGTGGTCGCACCTGCTCAAGGCGCTGGGAGCCCTCGAGGTGCCCTTCGTCGCCTCGGTGGGCCTCGTGCGGGTGAGCACGGGCCTGCCGCAGGCCCCGTGCTCCCTGGCCGCCCGCGTCTGCTTTGAGGTAGGAACGGCCCCCACGCCCCGTCCTGGTGCTTGCAAGGTGGTCCTGGCCCTCGGGCTCCACCGTGTAGGCGCTGGGGGGGGGGTTGTGAGGGTTGTTCCTCTCTCCCTGTCTCTGGATCCAGCTGCCCCTCGGCTTCCGCTCGCTCGCTCCTTCCTTCTCCTCCTCCTGCTCCTCCTCCTCCTGCTCGAAGCCCCTCCCGAAACGTTCCCTCGACGGGGTCTCGGCCGCCGCTGAGCGGGGCGCCCACTCGACGTGCTCCCGGACGCTGACGGTCGTCAGGATGCTGGCCTGGCGGCGTCTCGGGCGCCGGACCGCGGCGAGGGCGTCGAGGAGGAGGGGGAGGAGGAGGAGGAGGAGGAGGAGGAGGAGGAGGAGGAGGAGCGCAGGAGGAGGAGGAGGAGGAGGAGGAGGAGGAGGGGGAGGAGGAGGAGGGAGGAGGAGAGGAGGAGGAGGAGAAGGAGCAGGAGCAGGAACAGGAGCAGGAGCAGGAGCAGGAGCAGGAGGAGGAGCAGGAGGAGGAGCAGGAGGAGGAGGAGGGGGAGGAGGAGGAGGAGGAGGAGGAGCAGAAAAACAAAAACGCTCACCACCCCGCCCCCGCGAATTTTGGACGAAAAACTAAAAATAGCCAAAACATAATGAAAACAATATCCAACAATACTCAACACAACGTCCCCATACTATTTTTGTTGACTATATTGGAAGATTCCCCCCGTAGAGGGACAGGCCCGACTTAACACTTGAGGCCTCCTGGGTGGGGTCGGAGCAGATGGGGCTAAAGGATCGCGCGGCATCGCCAACACATTGGCGATACATCGCCGATGCATCGGCGAGGCATCGGCGACATCAGCGACGCATCGACGCCAGCGTGGACAAAATCGGGCTCCACATCGAGCCACATCGCCGATGCACCGACGATACGGCGAGATCCCCCTACCCCAACTACTCGGACCCCATCTAGGAGGCCTAGAGACACCGGCGATGCGGAGAGAAAGGACGGTGGACCAATGGGGGGCGGGGTGGACGGATAACGGCAACGCTTGGGCGGGGTGGGGCCCATCGAGGTGGGGGTACGCTGCGATCGCTAGTACGCGCGCGAGCACCAGCATGTGAATGTCCTGAGCAGCTTTAAAGTCGGGGCGGATTGGAGAGGGCACGCGAGAGGACACAAGACCCTCCTGGGGGCCCCATTGCCGCAGGAATGTAGAAGGCATGGGTCGCGAAGCAAATGACACCAGGGTACCCTTGATTTGGCAGGGTTAGGGGAACGAAACATGGCATACATACAAAAACTCGGAGGTTCGCGCGGATTTCTCGGATCGGCGCTGGACCCCCCTTCCTGGCGCGCGGAGCGCGCCAGGAGCGGCGCCAGAGGCGCCGCCAGGGGGCCCCACAGCCGATCCAAGAAATCCGCGCGAACCTCCGAGTTGTTGTGTTTATGTCATGTTTCATTCCCCTAACCCTGCCAAATCGAAGTTGCCCTGGTGTCCTGTGCTTCGCGACCCATGCCTTCTACATTCCTTTGGCGATGTGGCCCTCGAGAGGGTCTCGTTCCCTAAGGGTCGACTTACTAATCAGCCTCGACTGTGCACAGAGAACTCCCCGCGGACCTCAGAGTTTTTTATGTTTCTGCATTTTTCGTCTCCCTAAGGGTGGCCGATCCGAGAAATCCGCGCGGGCCTCCGAATTTTAATGTTTATGCCAATTTTCGTTCCCCGAAGGGTCGACCTGCTGATCGGCCTCGGCCGTGCACAGTTCACGACGGGGGGGCATGGTGGGAGCCGCCCAGGTGGGAGCCGCCGAGATTGGGAGGGGGGGGGCGGCACGGTGGGAGCCGTCAGGATGGGGGCCGCCAAGATCGGTGGGAGCCGAGATGGGTGGGCGCCAAGCTTAGGGAGCCCACAAAAGACGTACGCGCCCAACCGTGTACGTGAACACGGCCCCTCGATCCGCGAGACCGCCCGCAAGGTACGAACACTCGCGCAACGCATGCTCCCGAAACCAACGTGGATCCATGTACGTGTACGTCCTTCGTTCGCTCCTGAAAGATGGGAGGCGCCAAGATGGGGCACGTTTGGACGCCCGAGTTATCCGGGGTAACTCGGGTCCGGGGTAACTCGGGTTTGGGTTCCCGAAAAAGGAACCCGAGTTATCCCTGACCCGAGTTACCCCTGATGATTCGGGGCTCTGGACGCCCGAGTTATCCGGGGTAACTGGGGTCCGGGGTAACTCGGGTTTGGATTCCCGAAACACGAACCCGAGTTATCCCTGACCCGAGTTACCCCTGATGATTCGGGACTCTGACACGTTGGGGGGGGGCGGCGGGAGCCGCCAATTCTTTGTTTGGGGGGGGGGGGCGGCACGGCGTGGGGGCCACGAGGGGCCACCGACATCGGAGGCCGGGGCTCCCTCGGCGGGCGGTAGAAAACAATCGCATGGAGCAGCAGCACCAACGCCAACACCAACACCACCAACAACAGCAACGATACCAACAACAACAGCAACGACATCAACAGCAGCAACAGCACCATCACCAACACCACCACCAACAACAACACAACCAACAGCAGCAGCAGCAACAACAACAATAACACAACAGCAACAACAACACCACCAACAACAACAGCATCAACAATAATAACAACAACAACAACACCAACACCAACAACAACAACAACCACAACCACAACAACAACAACAACAACAACAGCAACAACAACAACACCAACAACAACAACAACAACAACAACAACAACGGCAACAACAACACCAACAACACCAACAATACCAACGACACCAACAACCACAACAACCACAACAACCACAACCACAACCACAACAACAACAACAGCAGCAACAGCAACAACAACACCAACACCAACACCACCAACACCAACACCAACACCAACAACAACTATAACAATCATTTTACCCGAACGCTCAGTGTTCTCACCAGTGCCAGGGTTTTCATGCGACGCGAGACAATACCCCCACTTCGTGGGGGGGCAGTTCAAGCTCTACCAAATATCCAAACGACTCTTCGCGACCACCCAAACCCAGCTTCCCGCCCTATGACGTTGGGACACTTCACTTCGTGGCGTGCGGACGACCGTGGCTACTACACTGGCGTGGGGTACACACCCACAGAACTTGGTCACTTATTCGGGGCGCGCGTGTGCCCAGCATCCTGCAATTGTGACATACAATACATGACACAGACAGACAGAGAGAGAGACAGAGAGCAGACAGAGAGAGAGACAGAGAGAGCGGAGTTGGTCACATTTTTGGGGCAAGTTCCTGAGATCGTCGTGTTTTTTGTTGGTCTTGCGCGCGCGAATGTCCACTTTACTTTTTTTTGCAAGGGAGTATTGAAATTTGATTATGTTAGAACAAGAAAAAGTAGCTCGCGCGAGCTCATGTAACATAAATGTTGAAAAACCATTGGTTTTGTGGGAGTCGGACAGCGCGCGCGGGATGAAATTTGGACATTTTTTTTTGAAAAACCATTGGGTTTTTGATGTTTTTATGTTGAAATCGCTACGAAACCTAAGGTTCTGGAAGGATTTCGTCTTGCGCGCGCGAATGTCCACTTTACCTTATTTTTTGCAAGGGATTATTGAAATTTGATTATGTTAGAACAAGAAAAAGTAGCTCGCGCGAGCTCATGTAACATAAATGTTGGAAAACCATTGGTTTTTTGAGGATTCGGACAGCGCGCGCGGGTGGAAATTTTGAAAAGTCGTGCAGCTGTTTTTCGAGGACCTACGGTGCGATTCGTGTGATTTTATGATGCGCGGTGGTAAAATTCTTAAAAACCCAATGGTTTTTGTAGATTTCGGCGTGCGCGCGCGAAGAAAAAACGAATGTGTCCCGCATGGTATTATTTGACAGGGATGATGGCCCTGGCAGGTGCGCAACCGTTGTCGCAGAAGTTTGAAAAAGTTGCTCGCAAAAGCCCGTTTGACAAAATTGTTTAAAAAGTGATGGTTTTCCTACGAATCCGCAAGAGCGCGCGGGATGAGATTTTGACAATTTTTTATTTAAAAAACCATTGGGTTTTTGATGTTTTTATGTTGAAATCGTTCCGAAACCTAAGGTTTTGGAAGGATTTCGTCTTGCACGCGCGAATGTCCACTTTAGCTTATTTTTTGCAAGGGATTCTTGAAATTGGATTACATTTGAACAAGAAATTTCATTTTATAGTGTTTTTTGCAAGGGAAAACGGGGGGGAACAAAACAACCGGATCCGGTACTAATCCACTTTTCTGAAGCTTTCGCGAAAAAATGATGAAAATGTTGCGGCCTAGGTTTTGGAGGGGGGTCGTGTACCAGGGGTCCCAACAATAATTATTCTTTAGAAGTAATAATGTTCAACAACAATAGCATCAATGCTGCAAACACCAACAACAACACCAACAACCAAAACAACATCAGCTTGAACAACAACCATTAACAACTATTACAACATCAAACGCCTCGCTGCGGTGCGTCATCCCGGTCATCGCCGACACGTGCGACTTCCCGTCGGGGTCCTCTCCCCCAATGGCGGGCGGGTGTCTCCTCCTCCCCTCTCCCTCCTTCTCCTTCTCCTGCCCCGCTCCCCCGTCCCCCGCATCCTCGTCCTCATCCTCTGCTTCCCTCCCGTCACCATCGCCATTTTTTGCTGTGTCCACTCCCTCCTCCTCAGCAGGCTGCTCCTCCTCCTCCTCCTCCTCCTTTTCCTGCCAGCCCCTCGGCTTCGAGCGATTCGAGCATTCGGGCCCCGAGATTCGAACTCAGCGCGCCTCTCTTTCTCTCTCTCTCTCTCTCTCGGAGGAGGAGGAGGAGGAAGAGGAGGAGGAGGAGAAGGAGGAGGAAGGAGGAGGGGGAGGAGGGGGAGGAGGATTCTTCTGGGGGTGGCCTTCAGGGCTCCCTCCCAAGGGCGCTCCAGAAGACGAAGGGTGCTCCAAGTATCGGCACAAGAGGGTGCCAATACGATCCAAGTGCGCTCCAAGAGGGCAGAAAATGGCCTCAAGAAGGCGTCGGAAGGTCTCAAGACGGCATGGGAGCGCTCCAAGACAACCAACATCGCCTCAAGCAACCCGAGTGGCCCTCAACAGCGACTGAAGAGGACACCCAAGAAAGCCTCATGAAGGAACAATCATTGCTTGCCACTTTGTTGTTCAACCATTCTAACGGTTCCACGATGCCCCAAAAGGCATTCAGCATGGCATCAAGACGGTCCTAAACTGACGCAGAAGGCATCCAAGAGGCCCACGAGGTGGCCCCAAGATGCCCAAGAGACTGCCAGGACGGCCACAAGACGGCCCCAAGAGCCCCCCCCCCAAGGGGCCCAGAGGCCCTCAGATGAGCCCCCCGAGACCGCCAGCAGGCCCCCAAGAGGCTCCTAGAGGCCTCAAATATTCCCCCCCAAAAGACCCTAAGAGGCCTCGAATGGGCTTCATGGCCCCGAGAATGCCTCTAGAAACCATTGAGAGGCCTCCTCCACCGCCTCCTCGTCTCCGTCCCCTCTTCCTCCTCCTCCTCTTCCTCCTCCTCCTCCTCGTCCTCCTCCTCCTCCTCCTGGCTCGCCACGGGCGCACCGACAGATAACACCAGCGCTGCACGATGGGGCGGCGGAATGAACGACGCGAGTGCAGAAGCTGCGTGTGCCAAACAGGACGGCAATACGAAAGTGTTGAACCCGCCTGAGAAAGGGCCTCACGGCCGCACTGCACATCAGCAGGACGCTACTGGACACGACAATCAGCAAAAGAGCGCCATCAGAAATTACAGCCCACAACCTTGGCGACCCCTCAGCATGAGAACATCCTTGCCGGGAGCCGTTTACGCACGCAGCAAGGCAACCTCGGCTCGAAGCGCGCCTGCTGACATGCGTGGTTAGCCAGGGGGTATCAAGCTCCGGTCAGTCTCCGCCGGTGATAGATTGAAACCACCCGGCGTTCTGGTGACATTGTCAAACCAGCCAGAAAACTTTGCGGGATAAGGCGGTGCACAGACAGTCTGAGCTGTGCGTCATGAGGCCCAGCGCAAATCGTTGTCAGTTGCCCCTTGAGTGAGAGACTTCCTGCTGAAGAACCAAAAACCTGCGTGTCCAAACGGGAACAGTTCACAATTCACGGATTGATCACAAAGACGCAGGGTTCTGCTGGCAGCACAGCAGATCGACAGGACGCTGCTGCTGAACACAATGACCAGAGAAAGCGTGTCATCAAGAATCGCTGCCGCAAACTTGGCGACCCCTCACCGCGAGAACCTCCTTGGCGAATGCCGTTTACGCACGCGACAGCACGAAATCGGCTCGAGGCGCGCCTGCCGACATGCGTGGTTAGCCAGGGGGTATCAAGCCCCTGCCAGTTGTCTCCGCCGGTGATAGATTGAAACCACCCAGCGCTCTGGTGGCCAGATTGCACAACAGCCAGAACATGTAGCCAGACAGAGGCCATGCACATACAGCCTGGGCTCTACGTCTGGCGCAAATCGATTTCAAATGCCCCTCGAGCGCCAAATCACATGAAGAGAAACAACCTGCTCGTCCAGACCAGGACAACCATGTGCCAGCAACAAATCTAGCCAAACTGCCAAAAGTTCTTTCGGCCGCACTGCACATCGGCATGGCGCTTCTGCTGGACACGACAGTCAGCAAACGCGCGTCATCACAAATTACAGCTCGCACGCTCGGCGACCCCTCACCTCGGGAACCTCCTTTATGATGCCGTTTACGTACGCGACAGCACGAAATCGGCTCGAGGCGCGCCTGCCGACATGCGTGGTTAGCCAGGGGGTATCAAACGCCTGCCAAAAGTATGCGCCGGTTATAGATTGAAACCACCCAGCGCTCTGGTAGCCACATTGCAAGCTGGCCAGAAAATGCTGTGGGACACGACACTGCACAGACAGCCTAGGCTCTGCGCCATGGGGCCCAGCGCAAATCGACTTCAGATGAAAAGAACCTCCGTCTCCAGACCAGCACAGTTCTGAATACACATCTTGTTCCCAACTACGCAGGGTTCTTCCGGCCGCAAAGCCCATCGACAGGAAGCTGCTGCTCAACACGACGATCGGAGAAGATATGTCATCAAGAATCGCTGCCACACGCTTGGCGGAGCTCCTTCCCTTGAAAACTACGTTGTCAGATGCCGCTTACGCGCGCGACAGCACGAAATCGACTCGAGGCGAGCCTGCCGACATGCGTCACGCATGTCGGCAGGCTCGCCTCGAGTATCAAGCCCCTGCCAACAGTCTGCGCCGGTGGTAGATTGAAACCACCCAGCGCTCTGGTGGCCAGATTGCACAACAGCCAGAAAATGCTGCGGGACAAGGCGATGCACAGACAGCCAGGTCTGTACGCCATGGGTCCCAGCGCAAATCGACTTCAGATGCCACTCGAAAACGAGACCAAGTGAAGAAAAAACAAATCTGCGTGTCCAGACCGGCACATGTCACAATTCACAGATTGACCTGAACTACGCAGGGTTCTGCCGGCCGCACAGCACATCGACAGAACGCTTCTACTGAACACGACGATCTGAGAAAGTGTGTCATCAAGAATCGCTCCCGCACGCTTGGCGACCCCTCACCTCGAGAACCTCCTTGGAACCTCCTTGGCGGATGCCGTTTACGCACGCGACAGCACGAAATCAGATCCGAGGCGCGCCTGCCGACATGCGTTGTAAGCCAGGGGGTATCAAGCCCCTGCCAACAGTCTGCGCCAGTGCTAAATCGAAACCACCCAGCGCTCTGGTGGCCACATTGCAAAACGGCCAGAAAATGTTGCGGAACCAAGGGATGCACAGACAGCCTGAGCTCTACGTCTGGCGCGAATCGACTTCAAATGCACCTCAAGCGCCAAATCACACGAGGAGGAAAAATCCTGCGCGTCCCGACGAGGGACAACCATATACTAGCGACAGATCTAGCCAAACGGTCAACCGCACTGCACATCGGCAGGGCCCTGCTGCTGGACACGACAGTCAGCAAACGCGCGTCATCACGAATCACAGCTCGCACGCTTGGCGACCCCTCATCTCGAGAACCTCTTTGGCGGATGCCGTTTACGCACGCAACAGCACGAAATCGGCTCGAGGCGCGCCTGCCGACATGCGTGGTTAGCCAGGGGGTATCAAACCCCTGCCAACCGTCTGCGCCGGTGATAGATTGAAACCACCCAGCGCTCTGGCGGCCACATTGCAAACCGGCCACAACATGTTGTGGGACAAGGCGATGCACAGACAGCCTGGGTTCTACACCATGGGGCTCGAGAGCCTCTTTGGCGGATGCCGTTTACGCACGCAACAGCACGAAATCGGCTCGAGGCGCGCCTGCCGACATGCGTGGTTAGCCAGGGGGTATCAAACCCCCCCTGCCAACCGTCTGCGCCGGTGATAGATTGAAACCACCCAGCGCTCTGGTGGCCACATTGCAAACCCGCCACAAAATGTTGTGGGACAAGGCGATGCGCAGACAGCCTGTTCTCCACCATGGGGCCCAGCGCAAATCGATGTCAAATGGCCCTCGAAAGCGAGACTAACTGAACAAAAACCCTGAGTCCAGACTGGCTCATGTCACAATTCACAGATTGAGACGGTCGGAGAAAATATGTCATCAAGAATCGCTGCCACACGCTGAGCGACCCTCACCTCGAGAACCTCGTTGGCGGATGCCGTTTACGCACGCAACAGCACGAAATCGGCTCGAGGCGCGCCTGCCGACATGCGTGGTTAGCCAGGGGGTATCAAGCCCCTGCCAACCGTCTGCGCCGGTGATAGATTGAAACCACCCAGCGCTCTGGTGGCCACATTGCAGACCGGCCACAAAATGTTGTGGGACAAGGCGATGCACAGACAGCCTGGGTTCTACACCATGGGGCTCGAGAACCTCTTTGGCGGATGCCGTTTACGCACGCAACAGCACGAAATCGGCTCGAGGCGCGCCTGCCGACATGCGTGGTTCGCCAGGGGGTATCAAACCCCTGCCAACCGTCTGCGCCGGTGATAGATTGAAACCACCCAGCGCTCTGGTGGCCACATTGCAAACCCGCCACAAAATGTTGTGGGACAAGGCGATGCGCAGACAGCCTGGGTTCTCCACCATGGGGTTCGAGAGCCTTTTTGGCGGATGCCGTTTACGCACGAAACGACACGAGATCGGCTCGAGGCGCGCCTGCTGACATGCGTAGTTAGCCAGGGGGTATCAAGCCCCTGCCAACCGTCTGCGCCGGTGATAAATTGAAACCTCCCAGAGTTTTGGTGGCCACATTGCAAGCCACACAGAAAATGCTGCAGGACCAGACGATGCACACACAGCCTGGGCTGTACGCCATGGGGCCCAGCGCAAATCGACTTCAGATGCCCCTCGAGTGCGAGACCTACTGAAGAAACAAAGCCTGCGTGTTCAGACCGGCACATGTCACAATCACAGCAGTCCCACCAGCCCTCTGGGCGTCGGTGGTTTAAGGCGTTTCCTTTTCTACCCCTCCCTCTTCCCCTTCGGGGGGGGGTTTTCACTGCTCCCTATTAATAAACACCCCCTC